TCCCTTTATATTAATAGAACAATAATGTCATTGTTAGCTAATGAATGTTTCCATGGTGACCAACGGCAACATGACAACGTTTTCATTGGTCCCTCTTCTTTAGAGAAGACCAGGAAATGATGGATACACGGATCGTGTTCAAATCAATAGGCACGCAATGACTCTAAATAATAATGATCACGCCACCAAACACACATTCAAACTAAAGGAACCAGCCTGTTTGGAAAATGTGAGAAGTAGAAAGTACAGGTATTTGAGTTCAACATGTAAGAAGTAGAAAGTACAGGTATTTGTGTTCAACATGTAAGAAGTAGAAAGTACAGGTATTTGTTTTCAACATGTAAGAAGTAGAAAGTACAGGTATTTGTGTTCAACATGTAAGAAGTCAAAGTAAAAAGTGGTCAGAAAAATAAGTAGTGGAGTAAAGTACTGATACCAGAAGAATGTACTTAAGTACAGTAACGAAGTATTTGTACTCTACTACTTCCCACCCTTGGTTTTAGCATGATCTCCAGAGTGTGTGTTTGCTTTTGGCCGACGGAGAGGGGTGAGAGGCGCTCCGTGCGGTTTTTAAATGGCTTCCTCTCCGCTCAGAAACAGGCTCTGGTTGTAAGCTGAGACGCTTCCTCCAGAAACGCTGACCACCCTGAACCCTGTCGCAGGAATTCTTCTCTCTGGTTTCTTGAAGCATCACAACAATCACTGGGTGTCATTCAACTGTGGCTTTTAGAAACGAGACATTCCTGCATGTTGGTTCCTGCAGGGGGAATGAAAAAAGGCTTTATTTTGTGCTTTTCAGCTCAACTCGTGACCTGTGACACCAAGCTTCGAGATCAGTGTAAAGGAACGCCATGTAACAGGTACAGCTCCGAGGAAATAGAATAAAAACAACACCAACAAATCGAGTTTGCAGTTAACTTCATATTCCTCCACAGATACGAGTGTCCAGCCGGGTGCCTTGATGCTACAGGGAAAGTAGTTGGGACAGTTTACTATGAAATGGTGAGTCGATATTAAGCTAATTAGCAGCGGTGTGTCCTGTCAAAGTGTCCTTGAGCCATCGCTCACATCTGTCACTGCACAAGGCCTTTAATGCAAATGATATCGTCAATAAAATGATTCTACTTGCAGCAATCCAGCGTGTGCAGAGCCGGTTTACATGCAGGAGTCATAGATAATGACGGGGGATGGGTGGATGTGACAAGACAAGGCAGGAAGGACTTTTTCATCAAATCCAACAAGAACGGAGTCCAGTCTCTCGGGTGAGACTCGTTAGAAACATATACTGATGATATTTGGTGAAATATACTAACGATGAATGGAGCCTCATGTCAGTGTTGTGTTTTCTCTTGACAGGAAGTATCTCAGTGCCAATTCCTTCACCGTTTCCAGAGTAGCAGGTTAGTCTGACTATAATGAGACACTGTAATTATAGATATGTCACATTTTGTTTGAAATAACTCATTATATGATGTGCTGCGACATCTTTTCTTACAGTCAAAGCCATCACATGCGAAACCACAGTCGCACCGATGTGTTCGTACCAAAAACCTGCAAAACACTGTCCGAGGTATGAAGCTCTAAATCTGCCTCGAACCTTTATTCCTCCAGCCTCATTAACAAGTTCAATAACTATTAACTGTTCTACTTTTAGGTTATACTGCCCGAGGAACTGTTTAGAGGAAAACCCTCACATATCCAGAGTAATCGGCACCAGAATATACTCTGATGTAAGTCCCTATCTTAAAAAATCATCAATATTCCCATGATTTTAGAGACATTTCTGTTATATACTTATTTCCTCTTCTTCTTCTTCTTCTTCTGTAGAAGTCCAGTATTTGCCGAGCAGCGGTCCACGCTGGAGTCCTCCGGAACGATCTCGGGGGTTACATCGACGTGATGCCGGTGGATAAGCGGAAAAATTACATCGCCTCACATCAAAATGGCATTTCTTCAGAGAGGTAAGGGATCCAGAATACACCTTTTCATCACTGAAGCTATGGTGACCAAGGTGATGCTTTACAGTAAGATTTTAAGGGTGTGAACAAGAAGGGCTAAGCTTTGTGAGGTTTTAAAATGATATAATAGATGGAACACATCCTCCTTTATAGACACACAGTACTATTGAACAACAACGGGAAACTAAAGGAAGTAGGAAATGAGAGGATTTGAAATAAAGCAGAGTATCGTGGGCATAGAGGAATATCTTTGCTATTTGCTACGTTGGTATCCTTGCATGTCTTCCTCTGTTAACTCAGGAAACATTATTGGATTATAAGGTCGCTATTCTAATGTTAAAAAGCGTATGCCAAGCAATGAAATATCTACCCAATTCAAATACATGTGAAAAACATTCACCTCACTAGGAGCTCATGCAACTTTTCTACATCAAGGAAATGAAGAGACATAAATAAATAATCCTTAAATGTGTTTCCTGATCATCAATAAAAGACGTTTGTCACTAACTTCCTACATAATGAGTCCTTGGTGGCTGAGAGGGAACAACATATGAATTTTTAACAAAGAAGGGAGCTTGTGCTTGCCTTGGAAAGACTTTGCTAATTCGAATGAAGTGAGCACATGTGCTGTACCGCAGTATTAAGGTTACAGGTCCGTACCAGCCTCGGTTTAAAGCTTCAGTGACCCACATGCTGCTGTAGTGCTGTGAGACATTAAACTGCACATACTTTGCTTTGTTTTGGTCGATAACATGCCCTGTTTAGAGGACACACTCTCATTTATTCTGCGGCTATCCTCCCTCTCCACATCTGTCTCTGTCACTCGCTGAGAGGCCTGACGTCTGTTAGTATCTGCTCATCATTTATCTGTCCCCTTCAACTTCACAACATGTCTGTCTCTGTTGGATTAACACATGAAGGTCCCCTGTGTGTGTGGAAAGTAGGGAGGTTTATCTGTTTTCTCGGGGAGCCGTGACCTCTATCTGTGTGTGTCCTATCTGTCATCCCCGTGTCACAATGACGTTTTCCGTAGAAACCTGAAGTCTTTCTGTTTGTGTGTGTATGTCATCCTCGTCTCTCTGCAAACGCCCGGACATGTTTGGTATCGGCAGAGATGGCAAAAGCACACACATCCTTTACTCAAGTACAAGTACAGATACTCGTGTTTGAAAATACTCTGGTGAAAGTAGAAGTGACCCTTTCACTCTAACCCCTACCTGGCACCTTGGACTTGATACATCGTGAAGGATTGACCGTTCCTTTGATGCATTTTATTAGACGTTTTAATATTTGTTTTAGGAGATCTCTTTGAATTTCCTCCCTCCTTCATTTGAGATCCCTACTCTCTGCTTCTTCCCAGCGTATCACCAGAGATGGCAAAAGTACACACACTTTACTCAAGTAGAAGTACAGATACTCGTGTTTAAAAATACTCTGGTGAAAGTAGAAGTACTGACTAAACTTCTTTACTCAAGTCAAAGTAAAGAGGCTTTGAAATGTGCTTCAGTAAAAAGTACCCATAACTAGCAGCTGTTTTAAAGAGTACCTGACCTCCCTTTATATTAATAGAACAATAATGTCATTGTTAGCTAATGAATGTTTCCATGCTGAACAACGGCAACATGACAACGTTTCCATTGGTCCCTCTTCTTTAGAGAAGACCAGGAAATGATGGATACACGGATCGTGTTCAAATCAATAGGCACGCAATGACTCTAAATAATAATGATCACGCCACCAAACACACATTCAGACTAAAGGAACCAGCCTGTTTGGAAAATGTAAGAAGTAGAAAGTACAGGTATTTGTGTTCAACATGTAAGAAGTAGAAAGTACAGGTATTTGTGTTCAACATGTAAGAAGTAGAAAGTACAGGTATTTGTGTTCAACATGTAAGAAGTAGAAAGTACAGGTATTTGTGTTCAACATGTAAGAAGTAGAAAGTACAGGTATTTGTGTTCAAAAGTAAAAAGTCGTCAGAAAAATAAGTAGTGGAGTAAAGTACTGATACCAGAAAAATATACTTAAGTACAGTAACAAAGTATTTGTACTCCACTACTTCCCACCTGTGTATCGGACACACACTGACTCCTTCTCCTTCTCCTTCTCTTTCTCTTTCTCTTTCTCTCTCCTCTTCTTCCCCAGCCTCCAAAACCCCCCCGGAGGAAAAGCTTTCCGGGTGTTTGCCGTGATTTGAGAACCCCAGAGAGCGGCTTCACAAAAACAGAAAGCGCACTTGTGCTGTTGAAAAGGCACCAATCAAGCCCTGTTGTCAAAACACAACGACTGAAATGTTTTCTGGCTCTGCTTCACACCAGGGGTCGGAGGTCGTTACCATGACAGCGTAAATCTAGCGAAGGAAACTTGACACACACACACACAAAAACACACACATCTGTCACCTGCATTGAGTTTTCAAATGGTCCTCTCCAGCAGGAAACACTTTTACCTGTAAATATCTCGCTGTACAGACTTGTAAATAGTATCACACGTGTTTGTCTTCGTGCCATTTCCTTGCCATTTTAACAAACAGCTGTGTGTGATTATAGAAAATAATACGATATAACTTTATAAAGGCACTTAAAGAGGAATGACATTATTATTTTATTAAGTCTGGCACATTTTTACTGATGCTCCGGGGGGGTTTGTTGTCATATTTTGTACTTTTTTAACTGGCAAAGCAAATTGTTATGCATTTATTTTTATATGATAATGCTTTATATCAACAGGATTTATAAAGGATGCTGCTATGTGTTTTGTGATTGCCAGTGTGTTGGGATTTGTTTGTTTTACAGATAATGTGGTTTAGTTCAAACTCCCTGCAGGTCGGGGAGTCACTCTATTTCCAAAGAATGTTTTCAAGTCATATCTATTCATTTGTATTTAACAGAAGTAAGCAGAAGCAACAGTTGTATCACATACAGTGTAGGGTAATGGTGAGTTTTAATCGGTATAATTGTTCATATTGTTTCCAGCTTTAATGGGCAATTCATTGTTTTTTTGTCTGTGCATTTCACATATTTTCCTACCTCCAAGATGTTGGGAAAAGTCAATTTTGCAATAAAATATTACAGCCACCTCACTTCTCTTGCAGACATGTGTTTGTGCTATTAACATAACTTCAACTGCTTTTCAAACTAAACCCTTTTCTTCAAGGACCTGCGTCAGAGTCACTGCTCCTCGAAACTCGCTTACCATCAAATGTAGCTTTCAAATTGTCAAATTTCTCCTTCAAACTTTTGTTAGTGTTGGATTTCCTGCTGTAAATCTGGCGGTTGCGGCGTTAGGGCGGTGCTCCTTATTCCTATCCTCGAATATTTCATGTGAGTAACACGATCACAACTTGTGTTTACTTGTGCTGATTTATCCCGACCTCAAACACCGCGCTGCGTCAGACTCAATTCACCTCAACCGCCGTCAAAGAGAAATCTGGGATGACTTTCTGCTTTGACAGGAAATGCTCTCTTTAGAGTCTAAAAGTGAAAAAGCTACTCATACATGACATATCTAAAAATGATTGAATATTGGCACTCTGAAAGGAGGGAGCCGCATCACCAGAAGGCTGTCAATGGTCCTTGAACACTTCATCTGATATGGTTCAGAGCTCTCATATTAAAGCATCAATCTGCTCTAAAACCCCATTTGAAATGACTCATTTCACATCAGCTATAAACCGGTGGATAAGCGCGCAGAGCCAAAGATCAAAGTACCTCGGGGAGTCACTGAAGGGGTTCGTTCTGTGGATGAAGACTGAGCCCAATCCCCAGACTTCCAGATCCATTGAGGAAGAAGAAGCATCCACTAAGTCTCACAGGATGTCCCTCCCTTTCCTCCTGCCCAATACCTACCTTTTGCAATTTGTCTTGCTTTTAAAACTAAACATCTATTAGGCTTTATCACAATAAATAAACACTTTTCTTCAAGGACCTGCTTTATAGTCATGCAAACCATCAAATGCAAAAAAGTAGCGTTAAAATGGTCAAATTTCTCCTTCAAACGTTTGTTAGTATTGGATTTCCTGCTGTCCATCTGTCAATCTGTTAGGGCTCCATAATCCTATTCTCGAATATTTCATGTGCTTTCACATTAAAGCATCAATCTGGAAATGTATCAGACTTCCAGATCCATTGCTCCATTTGAGGAAGAAGATGCACTCCCAAAGTCTCACAGGATGTCCCCCCCCCCAACCCCTTTCCTCCTGCCCAATATCCATATTCATTCAAACCATAGAGAGCGGAAGCGTTTGATTTGAAAAGTCCGTCACCAGGGAGCCGAGTCGTCACTCCTCATTTGCTTCTGAGCAGCAATGGAGCGAAATGACCGTTCAGTAATGGCTCCACCATCTCCATATCCGGCCTGTTATGATGTCTGCAGGCGGCAAGAGGTCCAGACTCAGGCTGCCAGTCTGTGTTATTCCCCAGATGAGGGCTAGTAAATCTTAAATGATGGGTTAAGTATGCAGTGTCTGTCCCGGTGACACAGTATATCCTCCTTGAGTTATTCTCTAGGTTTCATTGGTGATCATGAGGGGAATAGTGATCACTTAAATGTTTCTGCATTGGCAGGTTTAACTGCACATGAGGGACAGTACATTCTACATGCACACTGACCCTTGCACCACATGGACAACTACTTATTGGTCGGTGGGTGAAGTATTTAGACCTTTAACTCGAGTAAAAACACAAATGCAAGTAGAAGTAGAAGCATTCAAAAGCTTTCTCAAGTAAAAGTAGAACACGTATTAGCTTAGGTAAATGTACTTGCAATGGAAACTTGAGAAAAGACAGACATCTGTGTGTGAGTGTGCATGAGGTTGACAACTTATACCTTTAGTTAAGTTGCAAAATCATGTATAAATCAGTGTGCATGCTCACACATTCGAGTGGGCACTCATTTCTGTTCCCTCCCCTTTGAAGTAAACCGGATCTCTCCTGATTGGCCGAGCTCTGAGAGAGAAGGGTCTGCAGAGTGAGTGATAGGCCGCCCATGAGCAGCTCGGTCCTGTGAGAGAAAAGAGAGGCGAACATACATCAGACAGGCGTCAAAACTCACAGCAGGATGTGGCGATGGGTGGCGTTCAAGGGCTCCGGAAAATGAAAGGCAAGAAGATGAGGAGGATAGTGAAGAGATGAGACATCTTCTCACTTGATCTTTTACCTTAGTTTAAAAAGTCTTCTTCAGTTAAGCCTGATGCTAATTGTGTTACTTATGGGTTAATTTAGAGTAAAATGGACGATAAACCAGGTTGTGTCTTACAATGTAACCCTTTCAAAGCGTGTTTTAACTTAATGAAAGTTAATTGACACCATTTTGTTTCCTAAAAATGTCTTCCTCAGCATTTACTTCTTTCCACCCTCTTCTTGTGTCTGGTGGCTCCATTAACACTGGAACTAGCGCCGTATATATGTAGTATGACTTTCTACAACTTTTGGACACTGTCAAACAATTCTTCATGACTTAATATTTAATGTGCCTCACGTCTTTCGTTGGGTGCCTTCACATGCGATCCACCAGATAGACGAGGGTTGCATTCGCAGCAAAGCGACACGGGTCCATTAGGTCCGAGGAGACGGAGTGGCGGGAAGACAGATGGGAAGAAAGACGCTCGCAGCTCGCAGGGTCTGCATAGTGCCACCCGTGTTTTCAGACTGTCGTTTAAAATAAGGAAGGCCATTAATAACCTCCTCACTGTGCTCTGCTCGGCTGCAGAGCTAAATGTGGCGCTGCATGGCATCAGACTGTGTCAAAGAGAGCATACACACCTGAGGAGAGGAGGGGGGAGCAGACAGCGTTTGAATGTGAATCTGCATGTGCTGTATATTTAGATTTAATTGTTTTTTGTTCACCTGTCTGCTTATGTGCAATGCGTCTGGGTAGCAGGGACCTTTCAGTGCTAAAGACTGCGTTCCTTCTTGTCAAACCTTTACTTTGGCAGATGAACAAAATATTAAATATGACAGGGAGTGGGGTTTTTTCCCCTCGTGCTCCAAAAATATCACATTGCCACACTGTGAATGTGTTTTTGCAAAGATGGAGTAGAGAAATCAGTTTTTCCTGAGTGGCAAGGTGACTCATAATTATCGAGTTATTTTAGGCCTCTGTGCTTATAAAACAAACCTCTGACAAATCTTAGACATTTGATTTACAATAACCGTTCATTAGCAACTGGCTCTCCTGTGACCAACCCACCCAACAAAATCTTTTAACATGCAGTCAAATTAACGCCGTTCAGCTTGGGAAATCTACTGGAAGAAATTCAGCTTTAAAATCAATCAAGGCGACTGACAGTCTGGTTTATGTGTAAAAGTCTTTTGCCAATGTGAAGCATGGAAAAAAGGGTGGTAGAAAACCTTTCAAGATGTAAAGAAATGGGTTACACCGTTCCCTTTTTAGACTGTTTCACTGAGGTGTGAGCAGTGTGACCTCATACTGTCAAACTAAAGGTTAGCATCACATGAAAGGTACGGTATAATCTGTAATGTGAGCCTTACATTGAGCAACATTTTGCCATATATGGTTACAAACTAGGAGCCAGTTTGTTACAGGTTAATTGCAGGAGGTTTTAACAGATCACATACTCCCTCTTTTCTTCAGTCCAACACAAATACATGAGGCTGCTTTGTTGATAGATTTCACTCCTACAAGATTGTTTCTGTCACAAGTGGGAGTAGAAAACCTAATTTGAGAACATCTGGTGAAGTTACTCCCCACAGATTATGCACTACACAACGATGTGCATCTTCAAATGAACACTGTCTCTCACTGTCTCCCTCCTTCCTGATGAACACACATTCATCTTACTTCCACTGACAGGCAGGACCACAGCCAGATTTTCGTACGCTTTATTACCAAGGAAGGGGGAAAAAAAGCTGAACATCAGATGATTTATCGTCAACAACTTGCACACATAAGACACTGACATTTGTTCCTGTCTAAACGGGTGTCAGCGAGGCGGTTTTAAGCGCTGGATGCAGATGTGCGCCACATGTAGAAACCTTCAGAGGGACGCTGTGCTGACTGGACGTCTGGCTGCCTCCCAGGCTGCTGCAGAGCTGCCCCTCAGAATAAATAAAGCCCTCATCATCTGGACACTTTCACAAACCAATTCGTATTTGCTCTGCAACAAGTCTCAATACCTGGAGCACATTTGAAGACTGCCAGTGTTTGTTTTTATTGTGTATTTTCAACTTTGACGCACATAGAAAGTGCTCCGTGCTGCGCGAGAACTCAAGAAATGAATCCTGTTAAGAAAAATCTATTAGAGTTATACGTTTATGCACTTCTGGTTGGACTTAGCATAATAACATTGGCTTGCAGCTGGACTCAGCAAAAGGAAAATAAAGACTATAATCAATATTGCTGAATGCAGTAAATATAGGGAACAATGCAAACATACGCAGGATTGAACTGTTGTTATAAGAAATAACATAAAAGGAAAATAAAAGTGAGAAAATTGAACCGAGCAATTTATATTCAGACTTAATTGTGCATCGTTTCCTGGCATGGGCGCTTTTGACCTTTTTTAACATTTGTTAAATAGAGAGTTCGTTTTGTATATCAATCCCCATCGGGGGGGCTTAATCCAGTTATCTCTGTATAACTTATCAGCGTTTCACTTTGCACTCAGAGCACATTTAATGGGCTGAGGTTTCCTGTTTCCCCTCCAGATGCATTCATACTAACACTAATAACAAAGCCACAGTGAATGTGGCATCACTGCTCACACACAAAGCCATGGATAACAGAGGAAGTGGCTCCAGTTTCAAAGAGTGCTTCGAATCTAAGGCGCAATCAGACGACCTGCGTGTAAAACCAACACTTGTTTGCAGAGGAAAGGAAAATAAATGTTGAGGAGGAGAATGAAGTCGCCTGGCAGGACAACAAGCAGCTGAGGGTCACGCCTGAACAACGAGGCCATGAAGGTCCATGTGAGCACACACTGACACACACGCTCCTCTGCAGTCAGTCATAACAGCAGCAGAGGGAAGTGGGAGCGTTCGAGGCCTCCAGGGGGAGTGGGAGAAGAGCTCTGCATGAAAAATGAAAATAGTAGACTACATCAAACGGAATCCCAGAATAAGT